ATTGCAATGGGCAACTGAGTATATTTTTTATTAATACCATATAAAAAAATCAATCATCCAAATTCCTAAATATTTTCCCTTATAATTTAATGGTTTGTTAGTGAACCATACAAACTATGAAGTTGTTTAGAATAAATAGTTAAGTTTGTTGACCCACAGAGGCAGACTAACAGACTAACAGAGTAATTTTTCAGAGTAGAGATATGATCACTTCCAGTGCCCCATATGTGTCAAACTCTAAAAGCTTCTACAATCCCACTATACATTATGTCTAAGACATGAAAGGAACCCTAGCTTTTCTCTCAATCTTGACAAAGCTTCAGCAGACCTACATGTGGATTAAAGGTCACATATTATCCTCCTTTTCAACAAGTTTAAATGCCATAACTCCCAGAGCTCCCAAAAAATGTCTGTGGAGTTTCTTGTTAAAAATCCACCACGATCCTGTATTTGATCATGCCTATGAACCCCTCTTTTTCAGCCCTGCTCAGAACAGGCTGTTTCTGTGGCTTTAAATGTAAATGAGCTGTGTTAGACCACGCCCTTCTGGAAGGGCTTGGGTGGCTTGGGCTTTCTTGCACCATGTCCTATTGTTTATGGAAAGAAGGCAGACTCAGAGGGCAGAACAAACACCTAGCTGTGGAAGTGTCACCAACCTGGGGGAGGGGTTACTTCCCTTTGTGATGTCATGAATGGGAAATCTCCAAACAGCCAGCCATTTTCTGAAAAGTGGAGCAGGCAAAAGACAGAAAGGATGGACCTCTCTCATAACTGGTGGGCTTGTAGACATAGATTGGTGTCTTGTGCCCAAAACATGGTGAAGTGTATTTTGCATAATTTGTGACCTTTTTGTAGTCATTTTTTGGTATATTTGCACAAGAGTGAAGCTACTACTCCACTGGTGTCTTTACTCAACTTCAGACTGCATTCCCGCTTCTCAAAGTGCTACAATGCAACGCACAGATAAAGGATATTTTGGAAGGATATATTTTTGTTTTTATCATGAACCCGGCAACACTGGAAGCCCCAAAAGTTAGCCGATAATGATATCCGACATATAGCTGGTGGGTTCTGAGATTGGGTGCTATAACTTCCATGCTTTGGCCACATCAGTAGTGGCTCTTGATGGGCATACTCATTCAATCTCTATATCTGCATTTTTCCAGGTTGCCCCCACATCCAACCCATGACTTTCCACTCCCAAACCAGACTCCTTGATCTCCAAAAGCTATGCTCTCTTTTACTTTCTGTTTAGAAAACAAGTCTTTCTTAGAGACAGAGATATGAGGTGGCACATATTCATATACACTACCACCTATCAGCAGTATATCACAACATTTTTCACACCTATGTTTTATGAAATATCTTATTTCATGTTGAACTAATACAAACCGCTGAAACAATTCTCTCTTATCCTGTCTTAAAAGAGGGAGAACAACATTTTGAGCATGAGGGAGGAGGAATGGCATTCTCAAAATGTTTAAGCTTTAAAAAATCCTCTTTGGCTTTCTCTATCTCTCTCTCTGACTCTGTTCTCTCTCTCTGAACTTTGTTTTGGGGTGCGTTCGGTCATGTTGCCTCTTCTCAGCCCGGAACAAAACACAACGCAGTGAGAACAACCCGGCCTGTGAACACTTCAAAAGCTCATCGGTCCCTCTGCTGAGGCTTTTGAGGGAGGAAACAGCTTAATCACTCAAAGGAGAACAGAGGAAATAAAGTATAGACAAACAGACACACAAGCAACAAAATAAAGTGATGTTAAAGTGGAAACAAAGAGCACCTGATGCACACACACACTGACAGACTTACATGTGTGGCAGGTGGCTCCTGTGTATCCTGTTCCGTCACAGCTACAGCTGAAACTGTCCCACGTCTGTTTACAGCGACCGCCATGTTCACAGTGATTAGGCATACATCTGGAGAGAGAGAGAGAGAGAGGAGAGAGAGAGAGAGAGAAGAGAGAGAGAGAACCAATCACAACCCATGTTTTAAGCATTTTATAGATATCACTAAATTAAGTATATAATGTAAATAAGCTTTCCAGTTCATCAACTATAGTAATCACAAAGCACTATTCAGATTTGTGATTTGTAGCCAGTTGGTTGATTACTTAAAAAAAAAAAATATGATCAGATTGTATCAATCTGAAACAGAAAGAACCTGTGTTACATGACAGTGCAAAGTTAAAAATGTAATTCCTGAATTGGATTCCAATGAATGGCACAAATACAGATGTTTTTACTGACCATTAGAGCATTTGATTGAACATGACAATTACTGGAGGCAAAAATCCTTAGTTATACTGATACTAATACCTTTTGTGATGACCCAAAAATATGTCAATGATAATAACTAAATGTTTCTTCCACCACAGAAATAAACTCATAACAAAGTGACGGAAAAGTTTTAGTCACAAACTCCAGATGTAATTTTGTTGTATGTTTTTTTTACATTTTAAGCAAGAATAGGAAGATTTGTTTTGTTGTAACTCAGTACCCACGTTTTAAAATTCCAGGAGTATAGTCGGGAAAAAACAGCTTTATTCACCTCAGTGTGATTACAGAACTACACACTCAGCAGTTAAGACGTCACTGTTTTTCTCATTGAAAATTGAATAGCATTTCAAATCCTGAACACATAAAAGGTCTGTGGTTTGATCTGCCCGCAGGCCTGCTGGGGATGGATCCCAGGTTTCTGTAGTCTTTGCACACATACACAAACTAGCAGAAAAACTTATGTACTCATGCATAAGTGATTCGATTAAAATATCTGTGTGTGCTTATTTGAATGAATCAAAGTGATGTTAAGAGGAAAGCCAACTGGAAGGAAAAAACAAACAGTGATGCAGAGGAGCTGCAGGGGTTCTTTTAAAATGCTGGCTTCTTCTGCAGACATGCAGGGAGTCGGGCAGTTAAGAAGCACAGAGACGTTTAATCTCTAAAGAAATAAGGCAATCCTGTTTTCACAACTAAAGTGACTAAAAAGCTGATGTACAACTGCAGGCTTGTTCATATGATACAGGACTAGATGACTTAAGTGGAACATGTCATGTTTTAAATAACTTACTCATACTTTATGCAAATGTTTGTTTTCATAGAAGATGCTAGAAAGGTGAGAATAGGAAAGAACAAATGCAAGTGAGTGTACTGCATTGTATTTGCTCTGTGAAAACTAAAGACAACAAAAACACAGACATTCAAGATTACACGAAACAAACTAACAATAATCAAGTCTTAGTAGTTGATTCTCATCACAAACTAGAAAACAAGTCATGATCCTACATCATTGGAACCTTTGTCATGATGCTTTTGATGTCTTGTGTGAAGCACTTTGAAATGCCTTTTTGCTGAAATGTGCGATGTAAATAAACCTGCCTTGCCTTGGACCACGTCTACAAAGACAGAAAAAGGCACAGACCAGCGCAGGGAGAAACTTAAGTCATGCAGCTACCAAAACTGGACTTTCATCAAGACCTCAAACAAACGCAGTTCCGGCAAAGAAGACGAAAACAATTGAGACCACAGCATTTCCACACTACGTGTCTGGAGTTTGGCAAGCTAAGCCAGTAGCTTGGCCACAAAAGGAAACAAAACATAATGCAACATAAAAAGCTTTTTTTCTTTAAAAACAGGCAACCATTGACAAACAAAAATACAATAAATTATACACAGCAAGCTGTGAGCAATGAAGAGCATGCACTATATATGCTCTATGCTTTGTATGATTAAAATAGAATATCAATGAAGAGAACCTTTTGTGTGCTTTTATGAGCTTAGGTGTGTCCTACAACAGTGACACTGAAATAAAATCATTTTATTTGCGTAGCCTTGTCCCTGTGTGTGTCTGGTATGTGTACGCGCTGCTTCCACCATATAGATCAAAAAAGTAGAACAGTGGAAAGGCATTGATCAAAAAGGAGGTCAGACAGGGCTGTTGCGCTGCCTTCAAAGACATTCTGATTAGTTAGGTGGTGACACTGCCTCCATTTATCTCCCATAGCAGGACAGGGCACACCTCAACACTGCAGGATGATACAAAACATAGAAATAATAGAGATGGGAAATAGAGCAAGCAGCCAGTCACAAGAGTTTGATCTAAAATCTGACACGAGCAAGCCTGCGGTAAGCCATTCAAAGTGATTGTAATAAATATCAGAGCAAACCCCGCCACTTCACATTCCTTATGTCATTCTTTATACCTTCAGAGAGTTAATATGAGCTTTTTGTGATTTTGGGTTTCCAGAGGCTTTAATATGTGATCTCACCAAGCCAGACATCTGAACTCAGGACAACATGGATCCAAATCAAGCAGTGACAGTTGTTGTCTTATTCTCAGAGCAGGGAAATTGATGAAGGTAAGTGTTATCGACAAAACTGACCCGAAGACAAACGGCTAAGGTCGGGGTTCATTCTCTTCTTAGCACAAGGTCGACTCCTAATTGTTGCCTCTCAGTCTTGTTTACCTTAATGGAGCAATCCATGAAATAACTCATCATGGCTGAGATCTTCTTTGTGTCCACTGCATGATGGGAACCCGCTTAACTTTTACTTAACAAAGAAAAGGCTTAACAGTTAATCCCACAGATTGCTCTGCACTAATGCATTGAATGTTCAGGAGCATTCAAAAGGATCTCAAGACGTGGATGATTCCATGTATAGCTGAATGTGTTTCTGGACCCTTTAACAAGGAAATAAATTGAAATGTCAACAAGCTGTAATATATT